GAGAGAAAGAGAGAGAGAGACAGAGAGAGACAGAGAGAGAGAGACAGAGAGAGAGAGAGACAGAGACAGAGAGAGAGCGTGAGACAGAGAGAGGCCATTCCCAGGTCTCCTGCTGGAAAGGATAAGATATTATGTATATAATTAATATGTATGTATGTATGTGTGTGTGAGGAGGGGGGGGGGGATTTTTATAAGGGCTATTCGTCTTTCCAGATGGCGAAGAGGGTTCCCAGCCCAAAGAAAAAGTGAACACACACAACAATGCAAACAAAAAAACAAAAACTCCATTCTCAGGCTGGGAGAGGCTTCTATGGGGGAAAACAATTGTGCTCCAAGTGATCCCGTACTATTAAAAATTCTTTTGTCTTTGCGATAATAATTCTAAACCTTCTCTGAGTGCAAGGGAGGCGTTTGTTTGAAAGGAGGAAAAAAAACAACAACAACAAAAACAACAATAAATTAAATGACAAAAGCGTGCATGCACAGGGGAGGGATAGGGCCTAGCTGGAGCACCCTCAAACCGCCCACCCGTGACGCCTCTTTTCCGAACAACCGTTTCTTGCTACCCAGGCTCAATAAATTCTGAGCTTCGCGCATGGTTGAACAACTACAAAAGTAGCCAATGGATCGATCCCGTCCCTAGTTCGTTAATGACCGCGATAAAAAGACCACGCCAACACAATAAATATCGATTTCCAAGAAAAACGATACCTGACGAGAACGGCGCTGGCAGGTGAATGAAGCTGGTGCTGTCTTTGTGTTTGAGTGTGATGAGAGGGTGGGGGGAGAGGGAACAGGGAGAGAGGGAGAGGGTGAGGGAGGGAGGGAGAAGGAGAAGAAGAAGGAGAAGGAGAAGGAGAAGGAGAAAGATAGACGGAGAGAGAGAAGAGGGGGGTGTGGAGAAAGCAAGAGAGAGGGGGGAGAGAGACAGAGAGAGAGAGACAGAGACAGAGAGAGAGACAGAGAGAGAGAGGGGGGGAGAGACAGAGAGAAGGGATAGAGGGGAAAGAAGCGTTATCTTTGCGTCCGGGATAAGCGAGAGAGGAGAAGGGAGCGAGAGAGGAGGAGGGAGAGAGAGAGAGAGAGATATATAGAACACAATAAATAGAGAGAAAAAAGGAAAGGGTGGATGAAGAAGGGAGGAGTTTGTCTTTGTGTTTGTGTGAGAGGCGGGAGAGACAGAAAGGGACCGCGCAAA